CTGGTTTTAGACCCGGTCGAGGTTATATTGACCACGTGTTCACTCTCCGTCAAATTCTGGAACATCGGCTTTCCTTTCGTAGACCCACCATCTCTGTTTTTCTTGATTTGAAAAGCGGCCTTCGACTCAGTTGAGACATCCGTGACGCCGTCGCGGCTGTCTGTGAAGAGTCGAATGTATGCTGCAGCAGTTCGGCCAGTTCTACCATGTGGAGCAGAAACTTGGCCATTAAGAAAACAGGACAAAGATAGACTGTCGGTGTTTGAACACCGCTGTCCTTGGCCACTAAGGGAACAGGATAAAGACAGACTGTCGGTGTTTGAACACCGCTGTCTACGCGGCATTGCACGAACCTGGTGGGGCAGCCGGACGAACAATGCTGAGGTGAGGCGCAGAGTTTTAGGTAATCGCGATCGTCCACTGGAACAGGTAGTCGAGCTCCATAGATTACGTTGGTTGGGACATGTGTTACGCATGTCACCAGATAGGTTGCCGCGGCGAGCGATGTTCACCGTGATAAGTAGTGGGTGGAAGAAAGTCAAGGGTGGCCAAGCTCAAACCTGGCACAAGGGTATGAAAACCTTAACCAGGAGTCTGAGTCACATAGTTCCTGTTAGGCTCCCTGACTGGGGACCTCGAGAAGATCATACCCGATGATTAGAGACACTGAATGATATGGCTGAGTGTCGTAAGCAGTGGTGTTCGTGCATCTTCTCAATTTCTTGCAGGCATAGTTTACTGGAGTTCTCAATTTTCTCTTCGACTTTACCTTCAACTTTTCTGTTCTTCTCCTACTGCTTCATCCAAATGGACAACCAAAAGACAGCAACCAAAATCGACGCACAAAAGTTCATTGTTAATGGTTGTACAAACTGAAACTGAAACTGTGCGATGGGCAGCGCAGTCCTGGTTATTTTGTGCGACGACTGATACAGTTTGGAATGATTTAGTTTGATAGGCGGGTACTGCCAGTGTCCAGCCACTAAGCGGGAGAACCACTATAGTTCTTTTCCGAAGCCTTTAGTTCTACCGATAACCTGATGACCGCAAGGCATCGGGTAAAGGCCCATTCGCTTGGATCGATTACTCCTACCATTTTACCGACTGACACACTAACTCGAGTCCAACCCCCAACCTGAAGGAACAGGAGACTACATTTTGTCTGCCCTCTACCCGCTGATCTTCCGAGCATGACAAGACCTCGGCTTGATAAAAACTATACTATGCAGTCCGCTGGGTCATAGAGTTGCACAAGCCATCACATCACGTCAAAGTGCAGTTTCTTCGTGTCCATTGGGGTATCATATTCCTTCGCTTGGCTTCTATTTCTGACTCCAAGCAGCCACACACTAAAGAAAAGTGCTCAACGAATGAGCCAAACCAGGTGAGGGGTAACAGAAGCACACACATTTCGACGAGACGTACAGCAGTCGATGACAGCTATTCCTTAGTCGGTGGATAAAGTCTACTGTTTGATCCCGAGGGCTATAAACGCAATCTGCCCAATTTTCAGGGTTGCGCAAATCAAACGAAACATTGTGATTTTCACAAAGCTGGCTTAAACCCCCATATAAGCAATCCTTCACATTTACACTGTTCGTTTTTCTTTCTGCTTATCTAAAACTGAAATCGTTTTTTTTTAATTTTTGACGGTCAATCACAATTGACAGTGGCTCTGTCTTGCTAATGACCATAGTGATATCAGGGACACCTGGGGGTGTTGGGCCGATATTTGTTTGCGTGGAGCGACTTCCGTTCAGCCGTTAGAGTGTCATGTATCATGTCATTCAGATAGCAATGATTCCTTGAGTATTTTGCATGATACGCACAGCTGAATTATTATTATTGTTACTCTACTTTATTTTGCAAAACCGGGTTTTAGTACAGTCAAAATAGCTTAGCTCTCGTTGTGACTGAATGAGTCAGCTCATGATCTGTTTTCACCCATCACTGAATGCTAGTTTCGCTTTCTTGTGACAAATAATCTATCGATGGATTGTTGCAATCACGTTACTTGGGCGTTGTAGTCGCAAAATTTCGTTTTGTTGCGGAACATCGTATATCTTTATGTGCATTCCAGGTAGTGATTAACTCTTCCGTAGGTTATTATGTACTACTGAGGTCAATCGGAAATGTCATTCTAACTTCCTATGATAGAGACTGATTTACCTTGACTGGTTATCTGATTCTACAGACAGACTACCGAATCCACACCTTTCAATTCATAAGAGTGCTGTGCAGTTTGGAAAAATTCAAGTAAAGCGTTCTAAATTCCCCGATCTATCTTACTGTTTATCTGTAAGTGTACTCACTGAAATCCCCTTTGAGTCGGATGCGTATATGAAGCAGCTACTTTCGTTTGTTCTTAATCCGTGAACGCAAAAAGCTGGTTATCCTGTGATACGCTGTAGTTGACCGGTGTTTACAGTTTGTTTATCTTCGTTGGGTGCGTAATTGTTAAAACCAACTCACAATATCTGAGGCGATTAATGCGTTATTTTATAAATGAGAGAACTAGTGCTCAAATTTTTCACTGTATTTAAGTTGTCCAAACTGTTCAGGTTCTTGTCCTACCTTCTCCCGGACATGTCCTTCCAAATCATGCGTTCCGGTGAATTCATACAAACGCATCGCCTCACGTGCTTTCAGGCCTCTGCAGTTCCAGGCCCATTCATGTTCTATTGCCAATTACTTCCTTATTCTTTGAATGCAGTGGGGCCAATTCACTAGTTTGATTAAACCTTTAGAATTAGAATCAGTTCCTTCAAACATCAGGATATTAACCTTCGGAAATAACTTAGTCAAAATAAATTCACACCGTTAGTAAGATTTTCTCTATTTGGTATCTTCCTCGCGGTGTTGTGTCATCGTTGTCGAATCCAGTGTACTTTGTTAAATACAATGACAATGCGTTCGTTTTTAGATCGTACTGGGTAACCTTGAAACTTGGATCAGATGATATATTGGTTGTGCGCAAGTTGATAAATACATTTTGTTGATTTGTGATCGTATGACAGTGTGACCAGAGTTCTCTGGCCTGACCTCATCGATTGTGATCTGCGATATGTTTGTGTGGGTACACACGCGTGTGTATATGAGTCCGTTACAGCGATATGTTACCTGGCACATTTCCGATCGATTTACCAACGTATATGAGCGTCCATTATTCGCACGTTTTTGCGGGTCACATGGTGCACTCCTTCGGTCAATAATTAACGCAATCAGCTGACTGGCTGTCGTGGGTGCCATTCCAAGTGTGTGTGACGCTTGTGGATCTGAATACTAAACACCGTGTCTCGGTCATTTGACGAGCGACATTTTGTCGTTAGCATTCGGAGTTTCAAAAGACTGGTTGTCGCAAATGTAGGCTATTCTCCCCTAAATTCAATTTTATTATTTTATTATTATTATTATGTCCCCACCTGTGTGAATGCAGACTGTGTACCGAACAAATCACCTTACAGCTAACTTTAACGCAAAGAAATCGGCCCATGACTTGCCCTGAATTTAGCGCCAGTCGCCTTCATGATTCTTGATGAATTAACATTATCGTTTCAGATAATGAACTTAGCTTATTACTGACTAACCGAAGTCGGTTATATACTGTAACCCATGCTACGAACAACGAAACGTCGCATCACGATCTTTTTTGCAAGTCATGTGCATCTTATCAAGCGCTACAGCCTCTCTCGTTTGAAGTTTTCTCCGACCTACGAGACTATCACTCATTATGGACCCACGCTACTTCATATGATCCAGATATGGGCCAAAGCATTCGAAATATGAAGGCACGGTAATATACCATTTGAATATTCACTGTGGTATGGGGAGTTAGATGAGAATCTAGCTCTATTCGGGATATTGTATTCCACCTATACCGTACATAAGATATTCAGTTGCTTTTTAGCGGCTAAACGTTCAGTAATGCCTCAGAGATGGTTTGTTTTTCACACCGCAACTTTATTGTTCACTTTTTCAAGGTGTTAACATTACGTCAAAGCGGTTCGAAAGACTTTGTTGACTCAGTTGATTTGGACTCAACAGGACCTAGGCCGCATCATCGTGGCTCCCGTCATAGCTTCTCCCAGTCTACCAGTGTGTGGACACCCTCCAGTTTTGACTTTGGTCAACGTGATTCAATGTTTGGAACTAACAGACGGAATTCGATAACCCCCGAAAAACCTCATCCGGTCCCGATTCAACCTTCCCCACTGGTTGCTCGCCTCATCGATCAAACCTATTTGGTGTTTGAGCGAACCAATTGTGCCGCCCTGGCGCTTCGTGACTTGGAAAGCGGATTGCAAGTGATCTATCATAAAAGTCGCATTTTGGCGGATTTATTGTCTCACATTGGCCCCTGCTTGTTACAACAGCCCGAACGAATGATAACGGCTACTGGGTATGTTCACTCTTCTAATGCACAATTGATTAGGTTAATTTATCCTTGCTCATCCCTACTTGTTCATGACTCTGTTTCACTGCTTCACAATCACTAACATGACCCGGGTTAGTATTCATCAAAACTGGTTTCTGTGATTTCCGACGGTAGTACAGCGTTGATCAAGTGATTTCGGATCTTAGCGGCATTCCTACCAGATTGAGGCTGTCGACAGTGAGCAAACAAGTTGAAGAAAACTTATAAAATGGTACTCTAACTCTATGAGATCCAGTTGATCACACGCCAAATCCAGTTGACTTTCTTCATTTTTATTCGATCAGCTAAACCCAGGACTTGTACCTGTTCTGTGCATCATGAAGATTTAACTCTCGTAATTCTTTATGATTTAAACCGGTGATTGTGACTATTGAAAGAGAGAGGACTGCAAAGCTAGGTTGCACGATTTGTGCTAACACAGATTTCATCGCATCTCGACTGGTGCGATATGACGGAAAGCAGCAAATATCGTTTGATAGTACATCTGTTACATGCAAATTCGGCAGAACTAAATGGTCTAAATTGTTCACTACTACCAAGGGAAAGACACTGTGGCCAACAGTTCTTTTTGCACACAGGCCAAGTATCCATCTTCTAGTTTGCAACAGATTCCGCGAATATGAGAAGGACTGTTGTTATCATGTGACGTAAATCATTTATTTTTTGGGTCCAAACTATGATTCGTCATCAATAAATGTTGAACGATGGATGATGTAGGTTGTTTGTTTTTGGTGTTCTTGGATCAGGGTGGTGGATGATAATTTTGTAATGTGAGTTTGCTTGTGTTGGCTGTGGGTCGTGGTCGAGAGGTCAAGTTCGAGAGTGACCTTTGATCATGTGCCTCGGTCAGCCGGTGTCTAATCTAATATGGAATACATTCCTTAATCCGTCTATGCAACTGGTTGGCTGTTTCCCCATATTAGGTACTCCACATTGGAAGAGGTATTTTCCGTACTATTTGGCGTACAGTCGCAAGGATTGTTTCGTGTTTGGAATGAGGATTCGCGTTGTGCTCAGGCCGATTCTGTTGGGTGCATTGTGAATGCGTTTTCTTGCTGTTATCACTCGGTCTTGGGCGATCATCTTGATATTCTTGCCTTTGAAGGAGAGGTAATTGAAACCCTAGGAACTTGATAAAACTACCCCATTGATAGCCCCTCGGCGACAAATAATTGGGGTTTGTCTGAACCTGCTTGCAAGTAATCCTCGATGGAGATACCAAGTTCTCAACGGAGTAGTGTTTTCCCAATACCGCACTTGCATTCGGTTGACGTGATATCACTACGGAGCTGCAAATGTTAACCCGTTCAGATGGGACTAGGTTGATTCTGTAGTTGTGTCTCTCTGTATAAGTTAATAAGTGTGGGATCATAGAGATTAGTCAGCCATGATTCAGATTTGCTGGACTCAGTCGAAATGAAATTTGCTCTCCAGGATCGTACTTCTCTTCTACCGTTGGGTTTAAAAAGCCATGTTACACCATAATCTGGTTTGGGTTTTCTCCTACCCGAGGTTGTTGCGTGTACGCGGCACTGAAGTACCTTGAACGTCGACGCGATGTCCCAGTGAAGTTGAAAGACTGCTTCACGGCTGTTAGATATTGAATTTGCCTGTCGAAAGCATTCATCGACTAGCTGACCTCGATAATGGACGTTAGGATTTCTTAACACAAGTAGAATGAAGTGGTCAGGTTAATAACCTCAGGGTGAGCTATCGTGTATTTCGTCGGAAAACTCTTCGTCACCTCACGAAAGTGCACGGTTATTGGTTGTTTAAACTAATTATCTAACTGTTTCACTGAGTAGACTTCGCCGGTTCTGGCACATTATGAATTCCCAACTGTACTATACCACACCACGCTTAGTTTACAATTTCCACATCGGGACTGGGCAACAGCACATGGAGGCCAACAGATGACGTAGAAAGGAGGCATGAAGAAGTGCACAGAAAGACTGAGCAAAGTAGGTGTCGAACCGACAGCGGTTGCATTCTTGTCCTTTTTATCGGATCAGAATGTTCGGGGAAGTGTTTCACTATCAGTTTTTAC